ATATATAATATAGTAGGTGAAGAATAAATAGTTAGTAAGAGTACTTACCGACAGACAAAGAAATTACGCGTTGAGCAGATGAAGAGTAACTATTGATGAGATCCTCTTTCATTTCAGGAATTTGATAGAAGCTGAATGAATGAATGAGAACAAATACATATAACAACACATGCTGAAATAAGGTCTCAGGACCTTATTCATTCAAATTAGATGCTTATAAGGTGTCCTAGAAAGAAACTTGTTGCAACTCACCAAGAAACTGCCCACAATCCAGATATGAAGGAGTGCACAAATGAGGTCCCAATGTTTTTCCATTTCCATAGTTGTCGGGGCGTTTTTCTGGCGTTATTCGGAGCAACAAGGCCAAATACAAAGTTTGTGAGGAAGAATGACACAAAACTGCAGCACACCCAGAAGTATCCATTGTTGGTCCCAGTAACCTGGCTTGCGTCCATCCTTCAGAAATTGGTCCGATGTAGAGAAAACCTTTAAAAGCGTCTGAGATTAAGAGTACGTTTTCCTACAAAAACAAGGAATGTTAAGCTCATCACAACGAGCAGAAGGCTGTCAAAATTGCACCATGTGATACGTGTTGCACCGCGAAAATACAGACATCCGCAAAACCAAAACAAACAAAGCTGGCCAAGCTTCCTTCAGAAAATATAGAAATGCTATCCCTTAAATTCGTAAATAACATTTCTTGTCAACCATTTCAAAAAGTTCCGATATAAAATAGAGCAGAAAGAGTAGAATTACTAGCGTCGTTGGGGCGATCTGAAAGTACTACCTGCCATGTGATCAAGACGTATGTTGGTACGACACGCCGATTACATTGCGGGAATTTTAATATAGCACAGGTCTTACGCAACACGCAACGTTGTAGTGCATTACGTAACGGTTTGCTCCTTCTGCAGCGCTGCACTAGTGCACACTCGACTACACAAACTAGTCCGAAAAACGGCAGCTATCTAGTGCACGGCATGGCAAACTTTGATAAGACAAGAGACCTCAGTAAGCCCGCGTCTCCTGCGCGTAGATCGAAGATCGAAGTGTTACAACTGCCATGTGCTCCTTACTGTCCAGATAAGACAGTAACAAAGGAAGCATGCTCAAGTCTCACCACAATGAACTGCCACTGCTGAGAGCTCACACAATACTGTCACCGTAGCAGACATAGTCCTCCAATTAACATTGAGTGTGTGTGTGTGTGGAACAGATCAGCAAGTCATGCAGAATTAACATTTAGGGTGTGACCTTGAATTCAGTAATGCCATGTTGTTCAGATTATACAAGGTACATCAATCCAATGTATACATTGTGGTAATATATGTGGACTAAAATAAACGTGATTAACCATACCATAAATTAACTTGTATAGTGTCAAAGGTAAATGAAAAATATAAAACAAATGATTTTTAAGAGGATTTATTATCACAATGCATAAAGATGGTCATATGCATACAACAATTACAACTTATGCAACTCTTGCGAGCTCAAGCTGCAGCTTCTTCCAGGCAGCAAGGGGTCCATGCTGGGGCATGTACTTAACATTGACACCATCATTGGTGAGGGTACCATCAGCCTTCAGCTTTTCATAGTCCTCGCGGTCGTACTTGGTGAATCCCCATCGCTTGGACACGTAGATCTGAAAAGTAATGACATTGTAAATACAGGGTTGACACAGGTAATATACTCTACATGAAGGCATAAGCTATCTCAAGCTTTCAAAGTAATAGAATGAGTAACAAGTTCCACAACTCTGCAAAGCCAGAATTTATTCTAGCACCACGTGAACCAAAATGAATAAAAATCCAAACTGGACTTTGGAAGGTGCATGTTTCAGAGTTGAGTAAATAAGTATATGGCAGCTATACACACCTTCTGGCGACCAGGGAACTTGAACTTGGCACGCCTGAGAGCCTCGATGACCTGGGCCTTGTAACGGTCGTTGGACCTCACGCTCATGATGGGTTGACCAATGCGAACGCGGGCAACTGTTCCAAGGGGCTTGCCAAAAGCACCACGCATCCCAGTCTGAAGCCTGAAATGCAAAATATCAAGTTAGAGGTGATCATCTGATGTGTTTAAGATTGAGAACAAATGCCAATGGTTAATGTAGCATGCTTTCAAAGCAGTGAGATACAAATTAACACCACTCTGCAAAGCAAGACATGATCTAGCACTAAATGGAACCAAAATGAAATGATGTCCAGGATGGCCCTTGGAATGTGCACACAACATGCAGGACCAACATGCAGTACCAGATAAATGCGTCAAAACCCAAAGGCTAACTCAATAGAGAACTTACCTATCAGCTCCAGCACAGGACAACATTTTGTTGATTCTGATGACATGGAAAGGATGCAGTCTCATACGAATGTGGAACTGATCTTTGCCGCAGTTCTTCACCAAGTACTTGTTGCAGCAAATGCGACCAGCTTCCAGGGCTTCTGATGACAGCTGTTCCAACTCGTCAGAGACGAGGTGGACACAGAGGGGGAAGTCATCGACTGGGGCCTTCTTCTTACCCAAATCGAAAATACGGATCTTGGGATCAGGGACACCACGGCAGAACCGGGATTTGGGGTAAGGCTTGTTCTTACAGTAGCGGTAACTGTAACAAGAAAATGAGAGAATTAGAGAACGACGAGTTAAGAAAAACTAACAGAACGAACAAAAGTCTTGACATGAGAGAAAAAGGGGACCTAACCTAGATATATTAGATAGGTTAGGTGACGTTACCGAGTAAACACGAAGGAAAAACGAATCACAAGTAATATTTCATTTTCAAACAAACACGGTTAATGCCTCAGACAATGATTATTTCAAAAAGTACAGACTAATAACTCAACATTGATAAATAAGGAAAGCGGTGTGGTGCAACATCAGCATAACAACGTTGGCAGATGGACCAAGACTAAGGACTCGCTTACAAATTTACAAAGTACGAGTTCAAGACAAAGAGCGATTACAGTACTTTCAGAGACGTGCGTTGGACACGTTTAAAGTTTGAAGAACAGATATTGAACAATGAAGTTTAGTGCCTAACTATAAAAGAAGGCATGGGGGTAAATGATGCTTACCATCTAGCCGGACGCCGCCCCATCTTGACCTAAAATTCAGACAACACACAAAATGAATAAATATTAATATTCACAAATGAGAGGAAATTTCAAGGCATAAGTAGCGTCACAAAAGCGTGACTGAAATTAAGATGTAATTTCTAGATGTTGAGGGATAAAATACGAGCAACACTCACCCTGATGAGGCTCCTCTCTGAAAGAAACGGAAACAGGAACTGACGATGGGAAGAGATGGGGAAGAAGAAAATAAAGCCCACAGTCAGTGCCACCAACTTCTGCTTAGAAGTATACTGACTGTTTAAATCTATATTAAGTGACACAAAATAAAAGAAAAGAAAAAAATTAACACAATTTTAGATACTCATATTCTCTATATCATCTTCTTCGTCGAAATTATTTCGGGAAAGTGAGCACTGAGCAATCGTGCAAATAACATCGGATCAGTTATCGGCAGTGTCCACGTCTGCCCGGCCCAAATAAAATCTTCTGCTGTGGAACTTCAATTAATGACAATTTAGATAATTTCCATTAAATTTCATCGTTACAGTGCCGTTTTTCTCCAAGAAATTTACATCTTCTCAACATGTGGGCTGATACATTGCTAATTCTGTTTATTTCGGTTTGCACTGCGCTTCTTGGAGAAGGTAAATAATGCTGTGAGGTTATATTTAATAATATTAAAATGTGTTTACAAAGATGAATTGGAAAAACCATTAATTTTCATTCCACTTTAGGTTTAACATGGTTGATGGTTTATCGTACTGAAAAATACCAAAAACTTAAATCTGAGGTTGAACGGCAAAGTAAACGATGTAAGTGTAGTGAAGAACTGCAACTCCACTTTTAATTTGTGTGTGAAACAACTGAAAAACTTGTTTACTTACATCAACTTTTTCTTTTCAGTGGAAAAAAGAAAGGAAGCCCATGGCGATTCATTGGATAAACAGCAAAAACGAAAAATTGAAAGAGAAGAGGAAAAGTTGAAACAAAATAACAGAGATCTATCCTTAGTGAAAATGAAATCAATGTTTGCCATTGGTTTTGCGTTTACTGCACTTTTAAGCATGTTTAACAATATGTAAGTTGCCTTATCAAATCACCAGATGAAGGCTCTTGGGTCAAAGTCTGAAATTTTGATGTTTGTTTATCATTGTGTTAATTGTACTTTAGATTCGACGGAAGAGTTGTTGCAAGATTGCCCTTCCTCCCTATATCATGGATTCAAGGGCTCTCCCATCGCAATCTTCCGGGAGATGATTATTATGACTGTTCATTCATTTTCCTCTACATCCTTTGTACAATGTCTATTCGCCAGGTATGCATCTACTACATTTTACATTGTTGTCTTTTGCCATGTTTAACCTTAACTCTCCTCTTCATGATTTATTTTCCAGAATACTCAAAAAATTCTTGGCTTTGCTCCATCTCGCACAGCAAGTAAACAAGGGGGCATTTTTGGAGCCCCTCCACAGGCGTTTAAGTAGATGATAACATAACCAAATATAATATAAAATTATTGAAATGTTTCATAACTTTGAATATGAAATTAAATACCAAATGTTTTGAAGAATAATATACACTTTAATACAAAATTTCTGTTAAACACAAATTGCTTTTAAATAATAAAAATGGAAAGAAATATAAGGTTGTTGTAACTCTATTTAACATATTTTTCCATGAACTTTCTGTGAAAATCTGATCTTAGAGAGTCATTAATAAACTGTTCCTTCTTCTTGTCTGGCTCAGATCGAGCACAGTTTTTGAAAACAACATCATCATCCCAGCGCCGTTTAACCTGAAAGATGCATGTAGGTAATAAGACAGAGCCAAATTAACTTGATTGGATACAACAATATCTTTTTAAGTTAGTGAGAGTACCTTAAGGTCTCCTTTAGACGCTTGGGCTGAGTAGTTGAGGAGGGGATTTCCGCTCAAAATATTTTCCATGCGGATACGCTCCTCTTCTTGACGTTTTTCCACATCCTGAAACAGTCATGAGAAACATAACTTACGGTTTCATTGATTACAACGTCAATGTGGTGCAATACTGTACCTTTCTAGCCTGATCTGATGCCCGCTCTTTTTTAATACGGTTTAATTCTGCCAGAAGTGCAGCAGTATCATCATCGCTATCATCATCACTGCTATCTTCAGATTCTAGCGGATCATCTGCATCCAAGGAAGCAGCAGGTGCCTGATCAAGTCTTGGTCTTTTGCTATAAAAGAAAGGGACATAATAACCAGACTAGATACTCATAATAACTATGTTACATATTTAACACATTCATGTCTCAATAATTTAAGGGGGAAAAAAACAACAACTTAATTTGCACTTACGATGGCTCTCTTGCTTCAATAGCTGGACGACGAGTTTTATCTTTATCCTTCTCACGTTCTCGGTCTTCCAACTCTTTGCGAAAGTCACGAGTCCTAAGTTCCTCAGAGGTGCCCTGTCCATGTTCTCTGCAATGTGGAAATTAACGAGAAACAATGATGAGATAGTAAAGCGGACAAAACAGGAAAATGTAGAGGTTAGTACACCTGATGTCACAAGTTATTCTCAATATTAATTTAAGGATAGATCTCATTGAACACACTAGGGAAGGAGAGGGGAGGTCTTTCGAAGACTTATTTATGCTTCTGCATACCTGTATTTTAACTTTGTGTGACCAGGAAGATCCCTGCTGGAATACTGCTTCGAAAGAGCACTGAGATCTTTCTCTCCTCTCCCGGATCCACCTCTGGCCGGCTCGAAAGTAGGACGAGCCGCTGTTGTCATTTTAAGCTATAAAATGTATTCCTTTCGAGTAAAACTGTTGTTCTGGCTTCAAAAGTAATTGAAAAACCAACGATCCACGACAATCACAACTATTGTGCTGGGGTTAACAACAACTGTCTTTGGATTTTGTTTTTGGGCTGAGTTGCGCTCTACCACCACGAGAGCGCGCCGTTGCGCCGCGGGAATGTTTAAAGCTGACCAATGGACCGAATTTTGGGGGCACCGACCCCAATTAATAACAATTGATTGATTAAAAACACTTTCCAGCACTAATATCACAAGCTTCCTTATATTTGGGCGTTGTTTTCATCTCACAAGTACAAAAATATGGTGAGCCATCATTTCTGTATTCTTAATTTCTGTAGACCTCAATTGGTGTGTAGTAGAAATTGAACATGGGCTGCACATTATGCTACAGTCTAAAGATGCTGCCCGGGTAGGGAGGGCAGAGGTCAATATTTACCTTCTATCCTTGTGGCACTGTGAAAGTTTTCTCTTATGGTCATCAATTGCTGACACAAAGCCAGAATATCACCTCAGCAATCGTGTCCAAAAGTGCATTTGAGGAGGAAATTATTGCTGTGGTGAAGGAAATCCGTCTGTTGGAGGTCTGTGTGACAATGTAGACTATGTATCTGGAGACACGAGTTATTGATAACAGCAGCTTCCATAAACAGCGATATAAGAAAACTTTGCACAGCAACAACTGTGAGTACTTTGTTGCCAAATGACTTTTGTAGTGCATGTCCTAAAGTGGTTTCAAAATTTAAAAAGAGGAGGGCAGAACTTCATTCAATTATTGTGATAACTGTTTTTCATTTTGAAAATCATGTTTTACATAGCTGATACCGTTTATTCATACTTCTTATTTTATTTTGGGTCATAAACACTTTCTAGTTGCAATTCTTTCGCCTGTGTAGCAACTTTGACACACGGATGGAACAACAAGTTGTTTAGTAGCCATTCAGTCTCTCGAGTAAGATAAGAATGCCTTGTATTTAGAAAATTTTTGAGGACATTTGGAAAGGAGCTATGATTTAGTACCATCAGTGCACCTGTCCCACTCTCAATGGCACATAAATTAGCAGTTGCCCTTATCATGGCTGTTGCTGAGCGCAGTACTGACATATCTTCTGTATTACCTGCAAGCTTCAAAAGTGCAGTTACGCATTGTTGAGGAATCAAGTTTTCTGTAAAATAAAAATCAATTAATGTCAAAAAAAGAAAAGGGAATTTCTCAAAAATATCATAGCCTATCAGTTACCTAAAAGTATATTATCACAGTCACAACTACAAGACAGTAAGTAAAGCAGCGAATACATTTCTGTAATGTCTGGCTTTATCAATACTGTGGCTAAAGCTATTTCTTGCATTTCTGTACAAGACAGAGCACATTTCTTATCCTTGTGAAATGACATTTTGATCACGAAACAGAGTGCATATACTGCAGCTTCAATAACTTCATCATGACCTTTCAGACAGTTTATTAAGCGAGGGATGAGGCCTTGTGACAACAATACATTAAAACTTTTCATAGAACCACCTGCAATAGCAAAATTGTAATTAGTGCTCTGTTTTTATTAGCACTGTGTCACTCTTTAACAAAATTAAGTAAAAATATATTCACTACCAACTAGGTTGCCAATGGTCCACAAGCAGGCAACTTGGAGAGTAGTATTATGACCTCCTAGATATTCGATCAAATATGGACCTGCTGCATTTGTTACTGCCTCACATGTATATTCATCCCCAGTGGCCAAATTACAACAAATGTATGCTGCTTCAAGTTGGTGCAGCGCTTTTCTTCCTGAAAATGTGAGAGAGAGTGATTTTCTGGTCACAGATCAATCTGCAAGCTAAACCTTGTTGCAAACCTGTGAGATGTCCAACAACGGCTTGGAGTGAACCAGTAGTCCGTAAAAATAAGCGGGTTGTGTCAGGATTATGAAGAGCTTGTTTTAATGCTCGAAGAGAGAGGAGAGGTGCATTGTTGCCTGACTTGATTTGTGCCACAGTCTTAGCTAACTCATCAGGTGTCATAACATTCAAGGTCTGTAGTTCATCTTCAATCTCCCTTAGATTTTTTCTGGCACTATTGATGACTCTATTTCTGTGTTGTAACCTCCCTTCCTCAGATTCTTTTCTCAACTGATGGCGAATTTTGTCAGATACAGGTGAGTAATTCTGACTATTGCCTTCTGCCATGATTGCCAATGATTCATACGTAAGACGAGATGGAGGACGTCGATTTAAATTGTTGATGGCACAACAAATACTGCAGAAAACATAACCTCTTCCTGTCAATTTGTTTTGGTTCTGTCGTCTAGTACGTCAATATGAATGTGAATATTTATCGAGTCATCGACTTCAAAATTCCCGCGATGGTTCAATATGTTTTTGAAAAGGGGCAATCTGGGAAAAAGTGGAAACTTTCCCAACGTGGGAAAATGATTTTATTCCAAGCAGAATTTAAAAACTAGGAAATCACGTTCTCGTAACATATTATTCAGCAATCCAACTAAATTTTATGTGTCAAGGACAACATTGATATAGTATCTAAATCACAGATGGCAAACGTGGCAAATCAATAACTTTCAAAGCCTTAACAAGAAAATTATTAATAAGATCACTCATTAAAGAATGAATTAATCATTAACTTAATTATTTTAAACACAGTGTACTTATCTAAATATGATTTAAACAACTGACTCTCAATCTAAAGCCCATAAAGGCATAAAGGCTGTAGACTGTAGACTTGCCAGCAAGTCTCTTGCTTTGAAATCTGCTAAGGGGTCTAATGTGTAAAAGTCTAATCTTATAAAAACCAGTGTGAGACATCCACAAAATCTGCACAGCAGAAAAGTCCTTAAGACACATAAGGAAAGTTAACAAAAAAAGAAAAACAACAACTTAAAGATAGATTTTTAAAAAATTAACCGAATACAAGAGTAACAATAGTTTCAAAACTGAATTCTCAAGTACGAATTCAGAAAGAAAAATATAGAGAGAAAACAAACCCATTCAGAAATTATTTGTTAAACTGCAAAACAAAAATATTGATTGGCTTGCAATTTAGTAACCAAAATGAACTTCTGAGAAGACAATAATAAGCCGAGAGCTCAAAGAGCAAAAACTAGAAATCCACAGCCAAAATAAATAACTATTATTAGAGTTCATTGGATAACTGAAGCAGTGCACAAATTCAGTAAGCAAATATTTTCCCAGAAATACAGTTTTGTCAAAATGAAGAAGCTACACACATGCAGTTGAATTGTAGTAAAACAAAAATGTATTACTACATATGTGGTACTGCGTAATAAGTATTGAAGTTCTAAAACTGATCACAGGAAGGATTTTGATTTCTTTTGCCATTTATCAAGAAGCAGATAGCAATAGGGAAAGTGTTTTTCCATTCAGAAGCTTCTAAAACATACTTAAGTTTGTTGAGAAAACTTCAATTCTCAGCAAAATAACATGGTTGCTTTTACATGAAGTACCAAATGCGAGCACGGTACTAACTTTTTATTTTTAGAACTCTTTTACACAGAGACCTTCAAATTCAGTCTAAGCATCAAGTCCTAGCTCTTCCAACAAGTTGTCTATGATGCGAAGCTTGTCTTGAGCTTCACTCATGGAACTCATATCCTGGACTGCCAATGTTATATGATAACGAATATCGTCAATAATTGGGATAGTATCTGTTTCTTGACGTCCTTCAACTTCATCCGCATCTTGCAAAATCAGCTCATGTAACTCAGGCATGTCTATCATCTGTGATGAAAGAGAGGAACAAGTTATTTGAAAGATGTTGGAAACAGGGTTGCCAGAAAGAATTTAATGTAAACGAATTACTTTCAATATAAATTCTGAAATGCATCCAAAAATGCTTGCTGGTACCTTCTCAATGTGAGCTGCAATAAAGCTGGAGCACTGGTTCTCCAGCTGCTGGAGGTCGAAGAATCGGGCTAGCCGCATCTGTGTCAGCACATTATGAATTGAGAGCCTGTTCGCTAACACTTGGCCACAAGCTCTCTGTAAACCCGGGAGTAGGTACATATCGGCTGTAGTAAGGAGCTCGAGGAGCAGCCTCTCTGGAAGCTAGAGAAAACGGGGTTGAAATTTTTCTACGTACTCACTGAGCCCGGAAGCTCTGGAAAAAGCAGCACATTAGCTCGACGGTTCCCGTACCTCAGTGATGACCTGGTTCGTGTACACGTAGTGCACGATAGCGGCGAACACCTGCGGGTGCACGCCGTGAATGTGGATGCGGGGGATGCCGTCGCTGGACTGCTCCGCTTCACAGAAGTGGTCCGTCAACAGGGCCTTGAAGTACTCGCTGCGCAGCGCGAAGAACACCTGCAGACGGGAAAGTCTCGAGCGTTAATCAGTTCCAACCCCCAGCAGGAGGAGCACAGGGGCGGCCGCCCTCGCCTCACCTTGTGGCACAGGAAGGTGTGGCCCTCCACCACGAAGCAGACGTCGACCAGGTGCAGCGGCGCGCTGGGCAGCAGCGGCAGGTCGTCGGCGCCCACCCAGTCCCGGAGGGCGGGCGGCACCGCCTGCACGGCCAGCACCCCGAGGTCCTGCGCCAGGTCCGAGACCAGCTCGGGCGACTCCAGGGTCAGGGTCTTCACCTTGTTGCACAGGTTGGGCTTGGACGACTCTGGAACACACCGCCCGGCCGGCCGGGCCGTTGTCGATGAGGCCATTGCACCCCGCCCAGCGACGGCCAATACGTTACTACACCTATCATCTTTCCAGGTGCAAAACAAGAGCCCACAGCCCACAGCGTGTGTGTGTTTTGGGTGCCGGAGCTGAACGGGAGGGAATTAACTTCCCGATCCCCGAGCACGCGCGGGGGAAAGGGCGGGGCATTCGATAGCCGGCTGGGATCGGCTTCGCCTCTCTAATGCCAGCTCATGTTCCGTTGTCGATCCAACAGTCGTCGACGACGCCTATAACTCCCACACACACTCAACGGGGCGGGCGACAGCGACTAAGCGACGCGGGCGTGTACAACGCAGCATGCCCCTTGCCGGCAGGCAACCCGCCCGCATGCCCGTGAGCCTATGTGCGGTAGCTGTAGAGTACAGTCAAGCAAAACACGGCCCGGGCCGGCGAGCCACTCCAGAGGAACCACTCCAGAACCGACCCTGCTGCTCCGGAATCGGCCATCTGATGTCGGTGCAAAATAGACCGAAGGATAATTGCCGATCAGCCCACAGAGCCGCTGTAAATGGGCATGGACTGGACTCTGGGAAAAACTCGCGTCCCGCTCACATCTCACCCACGACGTTACGTTGTCCAGGCGCACCATTCCAACGGCGCCCAAGGTCAAGGTGCGGGACGGGCTTACGTAAAAATACACTCATACGGGCGCAGCTCTGCCGGCTGGGAATGACGGGAGGGAAAGGCATCCGATTATCTATATTTGCCGGCCGAAGATTCAGAAAAGTAAGTATAATTCGGTCATAATGACAAGTTCAGCTTTGCGAGCGCCCATAGCGCCTGCTAGATACGCAACATCTCGACTGCAGTGCATGACTGCATTGCGGGGTGGCCTACCCGGAGTTTCGCAGGCGCCAAGCTCCGGTAATTTGTCAGTATGAATCTGAGAAAAACGGACGTGCTTTCTGGTAGATCCGATCCCTAAGTTTTATGTGACTATGCGTATTCAGCATTGTAGCTGCAACGTTGGCCCTGGTGCTACGTGGACTCGGCGGGGTAATGCGCGAAATCTGAAACGTTCATCGTTCGTTTCGAAAGCCAATAGAGGCATGGGAGAATAATAATACGTTTCTCTCTTCCAGGCCCAGGTCCTGACGCCCCGCTCCGACCTGTGCTCCATCCTGTCCGCGTGGCATGCCGCGCGAGCCGGCCGCGGCGCCGCCGGCCTTGTGGAGACTTACGTAAGTAAACTCTAGGCGCTCTGATCTCCGGCGGCAGCAGCGGCAGCAGCATCCGTGCCGGCCGCTGCCGGAGCGCCGCCGAGCCGCTCCCCTGCGCCTCGGTGCGCCTCTGCTCCACTCACGCACCTCACGGCGGCCACCTGCGTCGTCGCGGTCGCCGGCACGTCCGCGACTTCCTCCTCCGCGCACGCGCGCCATTAATACTCATGTATTTTTCCAGTTTCGTTTCACGGGCCACCTGTTATTGGCCCTGCTTGGGGCCGAGCCAAGACGGCCTGGTTGGGGGGCCGACTGCGCTGACGCTGGATGGCGCCGGTGTCAATGCCTTCGGGACTGCCCTCCCCGCACCGCCCTTCCCCGGGGCCGGCGGCGGCGCCGTGCCACCCCGTCTGAGTCACATCTCGCTCCCTCGACAACTGTTTGACAACATCTGTCGCGGGGTCGGCGCGGAGAGGTCAGGTCGGCCGCAGCCCCCGGGGGGGACCTCCAGAGCGCGACCCGGGCCGCGCACCGCGGCAGGTGCACGGCGCGAGGCGAGCATGGGGTGGGCGGCGACGCGTCAGATGCGCGGCTGCGCGGCCGGCAGGCGCCAGACACCTGTGCCACTGCGTCACGGCTAGATAGGTCGCGAAGTGATAACGGTCGGATAGAAAGGGGGGGGGGGGGCAAAGCATTACTCTGCAGACCTCGCGGTGCAACTGCTGCAGGTGCGGCCTTTCCGTCACCACAATACATATCAGGTCAGTCACATGTTCGGGAGGGGCCGCGCGGCCCGGCGGCGGGACTGGGACTCGGCCCGGCCATGTCGTGGTGGGCTGGGGAATGTATGGGGTAAGATGACCATTTCGAGTCATCCGCTCCAAGACGTATAACCTTTGTC